CGATCAAACCCGTCGTCTCCTTAGCGGATAAGTGACTTTGTTTAAGATCCTTAATGTTAGTTTCTTTATCCATAGAGATATTGCTTATAGTTGAAGACCAGGAATCAACTCTGGCGCGCTGTCGTACAAATACATGCGAGTTTTTGTTTCTAAGCTGTTGAATATGAGTTAGTAGACTACTAGTTGGTACCAGACCTTATTTTAATTGATTTTTTTTTTAACTTTTTCACTTTTCATTAAAGTCCCAAGTGCACCCAAGAGCCTTTGCGATCGTTTCTTAAAAGTTGCTTTCTGATTGGTTCAAAACTAAAGATCGCGATTTTTCGTATGTGAGAAAATCACGTTAGACACTGGTGAAAAACGCACTACGCATGTCCACAGCTTTCCCGCTGAAATCTTCCTAATTTCCTTTGTAAAGCGATTTTTGTGAAAGTTTTTTACAATTTATAAGCTCGTTCACCGATATATAAGATTCATATTTCCATCAATCATTGTTCATGATAGGTCCGTTTAGTATGTAGTTTCTATTTTTATCTTGTCATTTCTACTTTGAGAAAATGAGGTTTTTCGTAGTGTTTTCTGTGTTGTCGCTGTAAATCGCYAGGCGCTCTGTTTACAGATTTCAAGACGCGAGCGCCCACTGGCGAGAAAGCTGTGGGCATGCGCAGTGCGTTTTTCACCAGTGTCATCCCATTAAGGTTCTTAGACGCACAAAGGTCTTTAAAGTTTAAATATAAACTTTACATTACTAACATCATGTTCATAAATTGAAACATCACCATAAATTTCAACGTATCATTACCGCGTCGAAACCTTTAGCAGCATATAAATTTAAGGGTATTTATATATTTAGTTACTGAGCTTCGACGACCGTTCCAGTAATTCTTATCCCGTCCTCTTGGTCATTAAGAAACGTTATGACTGACCTTAGCTGTCTCGATAAAGTTCGTTAGTTTCGTGTGAATATCCTGAAGGTCCTTCATAACGGCCTCATTTGGAGAATATTTTGTGCGCAAATTATATAGATCGTCGACTTGACTTCTTAACGCAAGTAGAATTTTGGTATAATGAGGGTTGTCCTATAACCAAAGGAGATTTTTGTTAGTTTTAGACGTTAAACATTAATATGTTTAGATTGCTACGAAAATATGTGGCTATTCGGACACCTCTGTATTACGGACACTGCTTATATACTATGGGGACCTCAATTTTACGGACGCTCCATTATATACAAACACTTCAGCATTACGACCACCTCTATTTTACAGAAACCTGTTTATGACCGGAACCTCGATATCACGACCACTTCTTAATCCTGGGCATTTCTACATTTACTAACACCTCTATATTACGGACACCTCCACATGACAGACACCTCTATATTACAGACATCTCACTACATTAAAGACACCTATGATATTTATTATAGACAGCTGTACCTTGCAGACACCTCAGTGTGTAAAAACACCGTCTATATCACAAACATCTCTATATTTTAAACACCTGTCCACTACGACCAAATGCATGTACTCTTCCTATAACGCTTATTAGGCGAACATCCTCACCTGACTGTTGTCATCGCATTTCATTCTTTTCCTGTCCGGCTGAAATGTAATAGAACGATAATTTCGAAGGACAACAACAACAACAGCAGCAATAGTAACAGCAGTAACAACAGCAGTAACAACAACAACAACAACAACAACAACAGCAACAACAACAGCACAACAAAACAAAACAAAAGAGAGCCGAACAGAAAACAAAACACAATACACAATACAACAAAACAAGAATCTACATCATAAACAACAACCTCGGGTCCAGGTTGTTTTTAACAACGCGCCGCTACACTTCTCTGTCCAAGGAGGTAGGGTTAAATGGATCCTCAACCTTCCTACGTACCTCCAACGTGTTTGAAACAGCAAGTTCATCTAAAGCTGTGCATATATCGCTTTGTTTACTATTCGTTCCTACTTCTTTGTCCTGTATTTNCGCTTCAGCATTACGACCACCTTTATTTTACAGAAACCTGTTTATGACAAGAACCTCTATATCACGACCACTTCTAAATCACTCACACTTCTACATTACCGACACCTCGATATTTACAAACACTTCAGCATTACGACCACCTCTATTTTACAGAAACCTGTTTATGACCGGAACCTCGATATCACGACCACTTCTTAATCCTGGGCATTTCTACATTTACTAACACCTCTATATTACGGACACCTCCACATGACAGACACCTCTATATTACAGACATCTCACTACATTAAAGACACCTATGATATTTATTATAGACAGCTGTACCTTGCAGACACCTCAGTGTGTACAAACACCGTCTATATTACGAACATCTCTATATTTTAAACGCCTGTCCACTACGACCGAATGCATGTACTCTTCCTATAACGCTTATTAGGCGAACATCCTCACCTGACTGTTGTCATCGCATTTCATTCTTTTCCTGTCCGGCTGAAATGCAATGTAATAGAACGATCGATAAATTTCGATGGAATTTCGATGAATGTTGAGGTAGTGAGTATGAGTGAATATATAAGTTTACAAGTTTAATATATAAGTTTTAATATATAAGCTTTAATATATAAGTTTTTTACAAGTTTACTAGTCTAAGGACTATTACGTGCTACCCTCTCAAAACAAAAAAGACTTTATTTATGGACAACAACAACAACAGCAGCAATAGCAACAGCAGTAACAACAGCAGTAACAACAACAACAACAACAACAACAACAGCAACAACAACAGCACAACAAAACAAAAGAGAGCCGAATAGAAAACAAAACACAATACACACTACAACAAAACAAGAATCTACATCATAAACAACAACCTCGGGTACAGGCTGTTTTTAACAACGCGCCGCTACACTTTTCTGTCCAAGAAGAAGGTAGGGTTAAATGGATCCTCAACCTTCCTACGTACCTCCAACGTGTTTGAAACAGCAAGTTCATCTAAAGCTGTGCATATATCGCTTTGTTTACTATTCGTTCCTACTTCTTTGTCCTGTATTTGACACCTTAGTAGATCTCCAAGCCACACCTGTATCTCAATTAAGGATATTATACAGTCAAGTCTCTCGTAGCGACCACCTCGGGATCAGGAAAAAGTGGTCGCTTACGAGAGACGGTCGTTTTACGAGAGAGTTTTATCTACAGAGTTTATATGGGAAACAATCATAACGGGAAATTTAAAAGGTAGTCGCAAAAGGGATATGGTCGCTCACGAGAGTGGTCGTTCAAAGAGAGTCAACTGTATTTATAAAATTTTATAAAATTCTGGCCATCATCATCTATTGCACCTCAAGGGAAAAAAGGGCATGAGAAGGTGAATGAGGGGGTGGACAGAGGGGAACGATAGAGAAAAGAAATGATGATGTAAACATGCAAACGAAGGATACAATTTTATTTGGGGATAATTCTTGTTGCTTGTAGGGTACCTGGAAATAAGAGAGAATATTAAGTAACTTATATCACAATTATAAATCATATTGTATTTGAAAAAAGGTTKATGCAGAGTGGAAAATCAGATATTTGAAAACTCATAGCTGATATTGATGGCAATATCCGTGCTTGGGAAAGTGATATTTTCAGAGTGTTTAAAACTGAAGTACCCACAATACTTTTTGGTCATACAATTGATGTTCTCTTCGACAACCTTTTTTTAAAATGGTTTATTGAAAAAGTAAAACATGACTTACATTACTGAGAAAATCAGAAAGACTTGGTAGCAATCGTTCAGGTACACAGTCACCCATAATGTGGGTATACGGAGTTACCTGTCATGAGAAATAAATAAATAAATATAAATGATGCAAAATACGTATGAGTTAAAGGAATCAAAGACACATGGCGCGGGTAGCAAATGAAAACTGGAAGGCCGACCAMTAATAATAATGCAAAATAAATATMAATATGAACTAATATAATTTCCAAAATATTTTACGACCTAAAAATATGTCCTGRAGAGGGAAAAATAAGAAGTAAACAAACGGAAGTGCATTAATTATCCAAGAAATACCTCAGCGAAGGCTTTAACTGACTGTAGTGATATCTGATAGACAAGCCAAGACTCATCACTGACAAGAGATGAAAACAGACCAGATATTGCACCAAACACCCCAATCTGTTGATACAAAACCATCAGTGATTTAAGACTTAATTATTGAATAAAATACATTTAAGAGTGATGCCTGATACTGATGAATAAAACATCAGTGATTTGTATGCATACACAAGGTCAATCAGCTGACTTTGTTGACTTCCCTGATTGGCCTGATTTTGCATGTACTTTTAATGACCATACAAAGAGTGTTTATAAGGTGCATTTGTGCTRATCAGCTTGAATAAATTCTATTTTAAACTACCTCAGAATCAGGCAAAACCTCCTTTGTTCCACATTTACCAAGAAATTGAGCAATGGCAACTTTAAGTTCAACTGATTTGAACTGGTTTAGAAGGTTGTCAAGACAACGTAGAATCTAAGAATTCAAGAGCAATGTTTAAATTAAAATTACCATGGTGATGATGATGACATTGAAGACAATAATGATTATGATGATAATGATGCTGACGATGATTGTGACTATGATTATGATAATCATTATTACTAATATATTGCCCTATCAGTAATTTTCCTGGTCGCTTGCCGTACCTTTGCATAATGATCTGGCTGGATGTAAGGAAGTAGAATACCAGCCAGTTCAATAATTTCCAGCCACACATCTTCAGTTGGCTGAAAACCAAAACATACCCGAAGTAAATTTATGATCTTCAAAGTAAATGATGATTCACTACTGATACTGATAAATTACATTAATTCTATTGATTTGTATTGTTCTGTTTTTAGCACATTTTAGTAGTAATTACCACAACATTTCACACTCTAATCTTTATCAATATTATCATTACTTACAGAACTTTGAGTCCTAAACATTAAATTCTTAGTAGCGGCCCTACATGCCACCCAGACGTAATAGGATTGATGATGGTGATTACAGAGCTCTATATTCAATAGGTATCAGCCAATTTGTTCCCAAGTTATATTATAAGATACTTATGATTATATAATGTAGCATGAACAAGTAGCGAATCGACTCAACATTCATAACCAATTGACTTTTGTGTAACGAATTGACTGATAGCAAAATGACTTTGGAACAAATTGACTGGTGTTCATTCAAATATACATGTACCCACAGTACACACAGCTGCAGTACTTTCTCAAATCTCTCTAGCATCCTTTTTGAAGTAGTTAATATATACTAACCTGAAATGTTTGCTGGTTAAACTTGCTCCATGTTGAAGTAATAATATCAATCACCGCAGCATGATGGACGGGGGGTACAAGACGTTTAACATCATCAATACGATAGATGGACTTGAGGCAGCACAGTGCAGGTAACATGTCATGAAGGTTATTGTTGCATTGTTTTATACAAACTGGTACAGCCACCCTGCATACCTGTTTATAAGTTGGAAAAAAAATGTCATATGACCACAAATCCTTGAGAACAATTTCTCTGCAGTATAGAATGATAATGAATATAACCAACCTTAGATTGAACATTCTCAGGGAACGCCTTAACAGGAAGAACTGACCACAGCAGAAGATGCTCAGACTTTGATGGAGGAAAGCTGACAAGTAACTTCTCCTAAAAAAGAAATGCAAAAAGGCTGCAGAGAGAAGAGAGGAAGGCAAAAAGGAGTGGGGAAAAGTAGTGAAAGAAGGGAAAGAGGAGGGAGGAACGAACCAATGAACAAACAAACGAAGGAAGGAAAGAATGGAGAAAGGAAGTGATGGAGGAACGAAAGAAGGAAGGAAAGGAGAAAGGAAGGAACGAAGAAAGGAAGGAGGGAAGGAAGGGAGGAAGGGAGGAAGGGAGGAAGGGAGGAAGGGAGGAAGGGAGGAAGGGAGGGAGGGAGGAAGGGAGGAAGGGAGGAAGGGAGGAAGGAAGGATGGAAGGATCGAAGGAAGGAATGACATATCAAGTTGATGTACCTGGTGATCTTTAGCCATGAGGCATGCTAAGCGTCTTACAAGCATAGACACATTAGTGTGAGTTGGACTACCAAAGGGAAGATGATTCACCTAGACAAACACATGTTAATTTAGCAAGAAAAGGAACAATGTGACAAATGATACACATGTTATACACAATGTAAGCTTACCAAAGTTAAAAGAAAATGTACATGTTTTGAACACAGATCTGCAGATTCCCATCTAGAGAGAAGGTTATAATTGTTATAGACAGTTAGAGACATGGAAATGAAAAACATGGCCAATGAAAGACAGAGATTGCAAATGCAATGAGAATAATGATTTTTTTTAACAAATTGATGATGTTACAGCTTAATACCTGGCCATGAATGTCCACAGATCAATTGCCATGAGGGTGGACAGAAACTCTCTTCCCAAAAGACATTCAAGAAGACATTTTTCCTATGGGAATAACATTACTTATAAAAAATGTATGTAAAGAAGAACAAATAAAATGGTATAAAAATTGAGGAAAACAATGGAAAACAAACAAAAAAACAGAAAAACCTAGTATTAAGTAATGTGAAGGCTAGTATACTAGCAGAATAGATGGCAAGGTGTTTTGTCACTTTTCAGTCAAGTCTGATTGAAAAAGTGTTTCAATTTTTGTTGTTGTTGTTGTCAGTAAATAATATTATTGAAACAAGAACAAATCAGGAAYCATCTAAGAGTAACCTAGCAGTGGATTATAACTACTTACCACAAGATGAAAGCAAGATGCTGGACTACAGGCAATCAAAGCTGATAAATGTGTTACTGCATACTCATAAAAACTCACACTCCTGAACAAGTAAAAATACTTTACATCAGCAAAGAAAAGAAGAATCATAGCTCTACAAGTTAACGTTTCTACCCAACCCAAACCACCAGGGAGTAAGTTTGATTGTTCTTTTGTAAAATGACTTGAAAAGTGTGTAAAGGTTTATGAAAACATGCTATCCATGTAGGTATACAGGTGTTTATTTTTTTTCTTTTTTAATAAATAATAAATATAATTTTGTTTTTGTTTTTTTGTTTTTTTACCTTGCTGGTTTCCCAGCACACATAATGCCATCGACATAGACTGGTAGGTTGGTCTCTAATACACCTGAATTCAGACAGCAAAATGATGAATACATGTATATAGTTAATGATATTATTGTGCAATCCACACAGCAAAGCCACAATGTTGTACTTACATTTTTTGAGTACTTCCATTACAGCGTGGAGCAATGTAAAACATGGTTCCTCCTAAAGATGTGTAAAACATAAAAATTGGGCATTTTAGAGAATATAATAGAAAGTTATTATGTTTTATTCATCACTATCATAATTAACCATCTAGCATTATTAAATAATAATTATTATTGCAATGATTAGCACAGCAAAGACTGCAAGAAGTGGCAGCTACTACCTCTGGGAAGTTGGTTGGATTCATCCACAAATTAAGAACTCCATCTGGAATTGTACAAACATTCAAGGATTCAAGGATGATATTTGTTGGAAGGAGGGATAACAGTTATTTGACATCCTCTTAAATGAAGAGTCAAGGATGGGATACAGCTTTGTCCATGGGAAGTAAAAATTATTTTTCTTCCAAAAAGAAGGAACTCAGGCATTCAAATGACATGGTCATTAATAGTATCTTTTTAATATATACACCACTACAATTGGGTATTGTTTTTTTTTGACAGGTTAATTATTACCAGGTTGTCCAGGTAAAATGGCTGCTATGTCCAGTAAGACTCTACATTGTCCATAACCATTGACACTCCTGTCTATTACTGCAAAATAAACTCTCTTTAATACCATAACAGATCATATATGGTCTAATAATCATATTTACAAGTGTGTAAGTGAATTAAACCAGGACCTAAAAATCTCAAAATATTTCCATTTTTATTATATAAATAATAGTCTATTAATGTGGGATACTTACTGAATGCTTTCTTTGTCAAACACTTTGCAAATGATTTATTAATGATAAGAACTTTTAGAAGCGGTTGAATCTTGATAAGAAAAAAAGAGCATTAATAGCCCAGTACATATGTTAAACAAATCATTGTCACATTCTTACCATAACAAGMACAGATGCAGATATTTCAGGCAATGAAGAGGGAATAATGGATGGTGCAGACAAACTTGGTGGTACAGAACTGAAGATGATGTATACCATATAAATTCATTAGAAGAATTGTCATATTTGCATGACATATTTTATTGTTAGCAATATGTCCCTCTCTTTCATTTCACCCAATTCATTTGTAATCTTCTCTCCGTTTTCTCAACATGCATGTCCCTTCTTTTGTCTTCTGCCCTTCCTTCCTTCCTCTTATTCTTAGTTTCTATCTGCCTCCCTTACCTTCCCTCCTTTTTCCGTTTATTTCCTATTTCACTTTCCCTTCCCTTTCAGAATGTCTTATCTTTCTTATTTTCATTCTTTCTGCCTCTCTTCTTTTCTCAAGTCATTCCTTCCCATATTCTATATGTTCTACAATATCTTACCTGTACAGTGATATCAATAATGTCAGTAGTTCTGATACAGTTCCACAGAGCATGTCACAATATTCCTGTATAACAAGAAAACACAATAAAGGAACTTATAAACACATATATTCACTACCATCCTATTCATTAAGCCATGGCTACACCAGCGATTTTTTGCTTGCACAGGTGACGAGATTTTCTCAAAGTCACCAGCACACGATGTGGCTACACGAGCGACAATGCTGTATTGATAAAAAAATCCTTACAAATACTTATTTGAATCTCCATAAAGAGGTATGTACAAAAACAGCTCAAATTCAATGTTCAGCTTTCATCGTACCTGATAATCCTGTTGCCTGCGCAAGCAAAAAATCACMCGTGTAGCCACAGCATTAAAATGAGTCTAGATTGGCTACTTGTTTTGATTTTGTCCACAAAGTTCCAAAAAATACCTTCACAATCTGCATAAGGATCCCCATGAGAAACCTAACCACACGAACCATCTTTGAAAATGACTTTGCCTCAATAGAGTTCATGAGCTAAGAACAAAATGAAAACAAAATTTAGTAAACAAATTTAATTGATGAAACTGCTGACATGAGAAATGCAGTCTCATGTTTACATGAAAATGAGTGAGTGACAGATTTGTCCTTCTTCAACAAACTCAAATAAAAAGGTATTTTTATCTCCTCTTGTAACAACCACCCAAGAGCAGCTACAAAGGCTAATATATATACAAAATACCTCAATATCGTCTGTGCTTTGTCCTTCTTTCACCTCAGCCATGGATAAGCACTTCATCATCTTAGACTTTATAGATTCACACAAATGGCTTATAAATCTCTCCAAATGCAGGTCATTCTTGATAATAGCTTTGTGTTTTGTGACAAGTCTATTGCATAACATATATTGTCTATCGTCAAGCTTTCTGATATACATATTTAATAATATACATTAGCCATATCAGAGACTACAGTTATATCAAAGTGAAAGATGTTACACTTCACAATCATTCCCCACTTCTCCTCCTCCTGTGAAGAATTAAAAAAACTCACAAGGGAGGGGTGGGGAACAACTACACACAGGCTGCTTCAAGTGGTTGCAGATTGAATAACATAGCGCTTTGCCACCCATTTTTTTACCTGATAAGAGCCTTCCATGTGTTTACGAGAAGACCAACATCAATATCTCCAATAAGTATAGAAATGTGTAGAAGATCATGACAAACTAAAAGCAAAATCATAATTTACGGTAATACAGCTATGAACATATTATGCCTTAGGTCATAGCTGGTTGCCTGTTGATAGCCTTGGACAGGTCAAGAGACATTGCTCATGCCAAAGAAGGCTATATCCAGCCAAAAACTGTATATGGTTGGACATTTTCCTCAGGATCCAAGCTAAAAGACAGATATTTCTTGATTTCAAATGTTTTCAGGCCATATTTTGGATTGTCTGAGCAAAATTTGACTTGATGATACCTTGTATTAGTCCGCAATAATTTTAAAGATAGGATAAAGAATAAAAGTGGTGAGATATGCATGCATAAATCATAGAAAAACCTACCTCCTGTCATTTCTTTCACTTCCTCTGCATCAGAATTATTGTCTAACAGGACCTTTTCTATAAGTTCCATCAAAGCCTTTTGGAGTTGAAAAGTCTTTTTGAACAAGTTTGACAAATCTTCAGAAAAGTTTTGGAAAAACATTTTGTAAAGTGATTCGCTGTCCTTGAAAGACGAAACAAAAATAAAATGTATTTGATATCACCAGTTTGACTTTTAAATACTTTCTATATTTTTACGTATTTTTAAGTATTTTTACCTTACAATGAGYAAAAGCAGCTGAAATAATCTTAAACACACCAGGATGCAAAGAATTGATTTGTTTGATGGACAACTGATTGTGAGCCAGCTTTGAGATGTGTGATGTAGTACTCTCAAGGCATTCCATGAAATTAATAACGCCCTGATAAAATACAGTCATAAATACGGCCATTTCAGAAAACATTGTATACTGAAGATAGTGCATTCCAAAACCGAAATGCATTGTTGGCCGTTCTACTTTCCTTACAAAACTAGACTTTCTGCTCATCTTTGGACAACTCATTAGTAAAGGGAATGGATGTATTAAGCGTACGTCGACCGTGGCTGGGATGATTCACAGACAGTATGCTATCACTTAGTAAATGTTTAATCACTTTTTGTACATCACCATGAAAAATCATAATTATCTGTTAATCCTATTTACATGGTAAGCCTATCGAGGTTAATATTTATGTGTTATAATCATCTACAATCACTCTTTTGGTGTATGCAATTTTGTAATCTTTAGATTCTGATCGAGGTAAAATTTCTCTAGATTTTAGATTTTGGACTATTTTACAAGGATTTCTTACGGTTATGACATCTTGGCTTGTGTTACGCACCATTCATGAAATCAAATCAAAATTAATCATGTGACTATTTCTGTAATTCAAAGTGATTCCTCACACTTTACAACATGTCTGTCTGTCATTTAGTTCATATGCATAGTTCTTGGGACCACCCGAGAAATACGTTGTGATATGTTTATCACCAGTTTCTAACATGAGTGGTTCCCATTCTCCCTCTCAAATTATCAAGACTATAGGGATTTTTGAAATTTCAAATATTCAGATAAACTATGAATGGAATGACTACATAATACTTGTGGCATGTATGACCTCGGAAAAATTTTAATTTATAACTTAAAAGTTGATGAAA